GGGGGGGGGCATAATTCTTGCGATGAACATTTCGAACTAACTGATTTAAATGTTACCAAAATATGTCCTAATCTACTGCTGTAATTGTCTCGGTGAGAAAATGTGTGGGAAATATTTGAATCAGACCGGCAGCCACTTCAGCCATAACGGCAGACGTTTCAGCCACACGCTGGGACCTGCGTAATCGTGACATCATCATCCTCCCCCATCCTCCCCAAAAATTGGGAGTTATGAAATAGGTTGGCCTCCATTCACGTAAGTATCTGATGTTTATGGAATCCCGGAGAAACGATTCTGGGAACTAATGGCTATCTGAGTAACTCGTGAAAACGAATTCAGACAATCCACGGAAAGCAAAATTTCTGTTCCTTTTGATTTTAACATACGCTTCCTGTGTTCGCTTTCGAAATTTATCCTCAAATATCTCCAATTGTGATAGATTTGTTAATAGACTCTGTTTCGTTCGTAACTCAGATAATGTTATCGTCAATAAGCAGTGCCAAGTGAGCGTTTCATGATATGAAAGAACGACTGAGGAAAACCGCAAATATCTGGCTTGATGGTGAGGCAGAAACTCTGACCGCGTGGTGTCAAATTCAGTGAAACGTGTTTCAGCTAACTGTGATGTTTAGCTGAAATGGACCCAATGATCCATTACTTCGCATGATAATTTGCTGGCCTATTACGGCTGGTGTTCCTCATTTGCGTGAGCTGCGGGACTGCATAATACTGTTGGGCAAATTCGAAAGGACAGAAAATTATTAGACTTCGCGCCATTTGGATTGAGTAAATTTGACAAAAATATTCAATTTTATCCGACGTGCCGTGTCGGAACGCTCCCTTTATCAACAGTCAACTCAGCACGCAGGGGAATGAATCATACTCCCACATCAAGCGCCTTCTACATTTTATGTACTCAATTGCCACAGACTTACTAATGCTCAGGCGCTGCCGACACCTTGCCGCAAAGAAAAGGAATGAGACTCAGTAGCAAATTACCATAACTAATTTCTTTTAAAAAACTCTTTCATGCATAAATTTACATTATGTAAAATGTCATTTTTCTTTGTGAGATTTGTTAATTTGATTCAGTACTGTATTTTCCTCGTAATTTATCAATACTGCAAAATGAGTTATATCTTGATATGATACTTACCCTCGTCTTTTTCGTTAGTCTTCAGTATTTTCAGACTCTGCTGAATATTACATATCATTACATGTCAATACGCAAGATATTTACGATGTGTGTAACATGGGAAAGTACAAAGTGCATGCAAACGTTTGTACAGGTTGAGGAAGCTAAAATCACTACTTGCCCGTGACGTGTCCTCCGGTGGTAGGTAGAGGGATGTTATTCAACTGTACTGGGCGGTACTGATGCTGACCAGGGTGTCGCGTATCCTTGGTAACTGTCGTCTGCTTCACGTATTCCTCTGATCCAGCCTGTAAACAAAACGTGAGTTTCGTCCTGAAAGACCACTGAATTACCAGAAGGTAAAGGTGCCCAAACCGGTTGAATGCTGTCACTAAATTTTCTGCACTGCGTTTAACGTACAGGATAATCAAAATTCACGAAATCCATTCCTGGCACATGTTCTATTTGTCAAAAAATAAATTACATTGAAATCAGAAAAAAAATATGAAGTGTTGAAAACGTCCACTGCGATCAGCGATGCATGCATTCACTCTTACCCGGTAAAGAGTTTGTTTACCGGACGATATACCGTCGATTTCTTTGACACAAGAGAATCGGGAAATATACCCCCAAACTCATTCTGGAAAGTTAAATAAGAACGTGATTCCAGGTAGTGTTAGACAATGAAGTCGTTTCGCTTGTGAAAAAGACACCCTTGCACTTTCATTGCTGAGGGACAAAACCACTAAAATATATTTGATACGGTTCCTGACCGGGATTGAAAAGGGTGCTCCATAATTCCTGTTCGATGCAATACTGACAATCCATTCGACAGCGTGGTTTCTATTTATTTTGTCATGTTACTAAATTAAGTGTTTCAACTTCGGTTCTAGTTTCCTGTTAGCAATCAAATTCAGAGAACATCGCCTAAAAGAAACCTCTTTTTCTAAACATATCTGTGGGGGTGTGTGAATCGAATTAAATTATGGGCAGCATGAAGACAAAACGTTAAAATGTCACGAAAATCACCATGTCAATGCAACCTGTATTCTCGCGAAGATTCAAACCGGAGACCTCAACGTAAGTGAAATCCGTTTCCGATGCAAATATTTGTTCGATGTGAACACATAAAATATTTCGCCAATAATTATATTAACCGACCAAACAACGTAAGTACTAAAATCAAGACTGAATTCCATTCTAAAGTTTCTGTTATTCAAGCACACTTACCGCCATCCATGTCGGACCAACAATTAATCACTATGTATGATTTGAGGTTTTCACAGCAGTAAGTATGAAGATTTCTGTCTTCTGGGTTGTGTGTCTGGTAGATATTTACCAACGTTTCAGAGGTCATACTGCCTCCGTCATCAGGGCGATTCAGTAAGACCTCTGAAACGTTGGTAAATATCTACCAGACACACAACCCAGAAGACAGAAATCTTCAATTAATCACTAAATGGTGTCTGAGCAGTGAAGGCACAGAGATGACGATGATGCTCTTTTGGTTAAAGCCCTGAAGATGGAGGCAGCATCTCCCATGTTTCTCTGAATCGTTGGTTATCTACCTACGAGTCTACACGGAGTCACAACCTCAAACAACATCGTCATCTTTACCGCTGTCAGAGACTCAGATCTCAGAAGGTACAGAGACAGTCGAATGGGACACAATAAACAAAGAAATAACTACCTCAACAAAAACGCCTTTTTTGTATATTGCGTAAGACAAAGACCAGAGAGATGAATGGACCTAGGACGCAACAACTGCCAAGAAAAGATGGGTGTAAATTGTGATGTGTTACAGAATGAATGAAAGTTGGCAAGCAATCAATCAGCCACAGACAATGTGCAGATTTTAAGCGATGTAAAACAGACAGTAATTAGCACCTCAAACCTTTGCCAACTGTCACATATCTATTTTGTTTAACAAAAACGAAAAGTTATTTAAGACAAAAGCGCACTCTTGGAATTTCAATACATCTACCTCTGAAGCGGCTAACATTGTCTACATTCAACAAGAAGTTCTGAGCTTCAGAGGGGGATAAACCGACCTCCATCCACTGTCACTGTGTTGACACGCGTTTAGCATTCCTTGACATTCGTCCCGCAGGATAAATACACAACGGTGTATTGAAAAAGCGTTTAGGAGCAGATGCATCCAAACGCATAACACGATGCATTACGAACACAGAGATTAGAGGGCCCAACCAGGAATACCTAAAGAACACTCATCTCGGTGGCTGCAAATATCCTACATGTTAAACAAGTTTTTCTAAACGTTTTCACTCAAAATAGCTGTCTTCTTGGTTACTGTGCCGTGCAGTCCAGTAGAAGTTCACAGACGTTTCAGAAGTGCTTGCTGCATCCATCATCAGGGCGATGAGTAAGCCCAGACTACACGAC